ACGACACCCAGTGGAAAGAATGGCGCGCTGATTGTCTCCGCCGCTGCTGCTGACGGCCCCAGTTTGCCTGCGGAAGCGCTTCCTCCGGTGGAGAGCGAGAAAGGGAGTGGTGTTAGTGTGGAGAAGCTTCCGTTGGAGTCAAAGGTGAAGGAGAGAGAGGAGCAGAAGCTGAGGATGAAGCTGGCGAAGAAGATAAGGTTGCGAAGGAAAAGACTTCTTCGGAAACGCAAGTTGAGGAAGAAGGGTAGATGGCCACCTTCTAAGATGAAGAAATTGAAGAATGTATGATCATCTATGAAAACTATGACTGTAATTTCAATCTGCATTTTCAAGGGTTAAGCTTCATTCTCTCATCTTATTTTCATTTTATTTGTTGTTTTGCTATCCACTTTGTATTTTGACAAATTTGTTAATTTTCAATCAAACATGCCTGAAATCAACCATGTTGTCTGTGCAGCTTTTCTTCAGTTTGGTGAATTGCGGTTTTTGATTTGGGATCCATGTTAATATTATTGTCTTATCACAAAAATGGATGAATCTTAGTTTTTCTGCTATTTGATATTTGGAATATTTTCAACAGAATATGAAATGGACAAATGCTACCTCTATAATTCACATTTTGCAGTGTTTAGATTACTTGGGAATTTGTTCTCAACAACCTTTTAAGTGTTTAGAAAGCATGAATTTCATAGTTATTGTTAAATTTGAAAATCCTGATAATTTGTGATGAAAATGCTAGTGTACAAACTCTTCACACGTTCGGAATGGAACAAGTTCTAAGAATTTTTAGAAAACAGTTCTTCCCAATGGAAACTGACATTATACTCGATGATACAACATTTTCACTCGTTCGGAAGTTTTATCCATCAGGAAGTGTGAACAAGTGAGAATTTAGATGCCAATCCAAACACTCCTCTAGAGTGTGATTATGTCAATCCTATTTTCCGAGGTCATTAACGTTGATTCTTAACCTCCCTTTTACCATTGCCATCCTAAAATTTTGTAGGTTTAATATGGGGCATAAGTCTGTAGTTAGTTGATGTAAGAGATAGGTAAAGTAGTCAAAACAAAAAAGGAAATCTGTACAGAAAAATTGTTTTTATAGTAGCCCTTGTAATGTAAGTACAAATTAGGGTGAGAGCCTCTCTATGGTGGAACACTATGTACATACCCCGTCATAAAATTAAGTACATTTTGCGCTGAAAGATGTAAGAGCTTTATGGAAACTACTCCTAGGACTAAAAGGCAGTAAAAGCTTGGGGGTGGAGAATTTCCTTTTCTGTTCTACTTATTATTAAGTCAGCAGAGTATCAGGAATGTTTTGGCTCTTCAGTGTCATGCTCGTGACCATCGTCCAATCTTTATCTCAGAAAGGTCAAACCAATGTATCACCTCTAAGGATATTAAATTTGCAGAGCGGGCAGGTTGCTTTTGTTCGAAGCCAACGGCCTACGCATTCACAGTGAAAATGGTGGGTACACGGAAGCCGATACACTTCTGATCCATCAGCATATGGGCATAGGCAGATACAGCATTCCTACAATATAATCATCACCAATAATGCCAATTGAGTAATTAAACAAGGAAATTATCTGAATGAAAGATAATTAGCATCTAATAATTACTGAATCAAAGATACGAGAACACAGTCAGCACTCACAGAATCATCTGGATTGAGAGAAACTTCACTCATATGGCTTCCACTGCATGAATCTACTCTTGCATTAACAAGTAGCTTCTTGTTCTCATCGACCATCACCAATGAATTTGACTTACTAAACCTATACATAGGAAGTGACCTGATATCTTCTTCGGATGCGCCTTCTCTGATTCTCATAGCATAAGCTAGTGCTATTATTGGGATGATGCAGAAGAGAGCAAAGAAAACTATACAGGCCATCCCAATGCAAAAGATGATAAAAAATATGTCAAAGGCCAGGAAGACCACAGTTAACCTGCAAAAATGTGATAAATACATTATTGAGCATCCCAGACGGCCAATACACCACAGGAAAAGATAATACTATGTTAGAAGATGAAGTAAACAGTTAGCAAATTAGTGCAACATACTTATAAACTATATTACATATTCAGCCGGAGATGAGCATTTTTTACTAACTCAGAAGCAATAGGCTCATGAGATCCCTAATCCCAATAAAATAGAGTCAACAAGATGGACAGATACAGTCCTAGTTTGAAATAGTCAAGTAATTACAACTCGAGCATATTTTATGTTAAATATTTATCTAAAACAAGAAATTGTGAGCCCCTACCATAATGACTTCCTTATGCAACAATCCCAAAGAATTATATGTAAAATATCAAGATAATGAAGCTTGTTACTCGTAAGTTCTAACTATAGGTCGTATAATTTAACAGTTATTTAGTTAAACCAATAGGAAGATTGAATTTCATCAATAAGTTTCAGCGTTGGAAAAGCAAGATAAATGTAAATTATGTAGCCAAGAGAACCGAGAAATAATAATGATTTTCGAAAGAAGGAAAGAAGAAAAGAAGGATCGTGCTTGACTTCATGTCAATTCTCCCAAAATTTGAAAAGAAATTAAGGAGAAATTTGGAACAAAAGCTTATATTATACTAACAGAAACACAAATTCACAGCGTATTATTTATCTAACAAAGGGTGCTCGGATCCTTACAACTGAAGAGAATGCTCTAGAGATTAGAAACAGCACAGAAGCCCTATAGAAAAGAACAGAGCACTAAGAAGCTGATTTGAGCATAACTTCAAAGGCTACCAGGCTCCCACAGCCTATGCCAAATTCTATGATATCCCCCCTCTTTTCTGCACACCCCTCACATATACCATTCGCTCTCTTTTCCCCGTGGTGGCCAAATCTGCTGCCACATTTATCACATGCCACCTCTTCATGCTATTATATTCTTCCCTCTATACTCCTATTAATTCATTCACTCTCTTGCTTCCTTCACTAATCACATTCCTATCTCCAGTGGCCATATACAACCCTTTTTCATCCTGTCATACACATGCAGGGCATTGTCCTTGGGCCCGTCCCTGTCCCTCCCTTTCTTCTCCAATACATAAGTCATAGGCCCATTAAATACAAAAACTACAAGTTTATCCTGATTGAAATAACACATCAAGACAATCTAATTGTGGGAAGACATGTAACAATTAGTTTTCTCTTCATTTTATTCCTCTTGTTTCTCTTCAAGGTTGAACATTCTACAATAATCCCTTCAACAAAATTTTCTAGTATAATCTTCAATTCCATCTAAAGTTGCCCAAGACTCAGTTAAGGAGCAACTTTTGATAAGCGGAATTCATGATTTTTTCAAATTGTTGTTTGCATAAAAGAAAAGAAAAGTTTAAAAAAGAGAAAAGGCTTACCCAGCTGTACATAATAAGTTCGGTTATCTAAACACCCCCTGGTCCCCCATGAAAACAAGAAAAGCAAAACAAAATCCAAATTAAGGTTCTTACTAACCAGTAGAGCCGCGGAGAATCTTCCAAAAGTGCTTGGCCACCCACAACAATCCAGTAAAATCCAATCACCCACCAAATAGAAGATGCCACAGTGTTCATAGGCTCTAGCTTCTTCACAAAGCTAAAAACAAAAAAGAATAGAATGAAATGAGAATTCAATTGTCCTCCGGGACAAATGAATAGAAAGCAAGACACACATGACAACTGAAGACCATTATTATTCCAAAGACAAAGAGAAGGAAGTAGGAATATTCTAATAACAGACACTCTGCAAGAGCTATCCACAACTTCTCTCCTTGGAACATTCAGTTCATCACTAAGAGGTTATCAAGTCTCAGTATCTGAAACAGAAACAGCCTCAAGTAAAAACAAACACTTCCCCTTCCATGAATTCACCAAAAATCTCAAAACAATAGTTGAAAACCAAGTAAGTACACCGCCTGACAGCTCCTCCAATGCACAATAATAATCTATGTCAATCTTAGAAAGCAATAATTTTTCAATTACAAATAATTTATAAATAACAAATACCTTTTTAGTATAATTATACCCTAGGCTAACCTAACCAAACCTTACACTTAGTTCACACAATTCAGTTCACACACTCTCCCTAATTCAATTTCACTTGTCAATAACAAGAAAACATCATCCCACATACCACGAACTGAACACCATCACATGTCTAATTTCTAACATCACATACCTCCTAGTCATCTCTCTCACTTACACACTCACAATGTTAATTAAAAATGACATTAAAATTCAACACAAAAATTAACAAAAATATATATAATTTTAAAAAATAAAATTAAAACAATTAATTGCTGATGCAGTGTGATTGAAGGAGAAGGAGAAACTAGTGGGAGCTACCTATAGGTAGTGTGCGAGAAGGAACCGTGAACTCCGGTTTGGAACTCGAGGAAGACGAAAGCCATATGGAGAACGCACTCGAAAGCGTAGCCGCAGAGCCAGAGTCTGAGCGGCGTGGACGGCCGCTCCCGGAGAGTGGAGAGGAGGACACTGGCGGCCACGACTACGAAGGCGAGGTTCCAAACCATGTCGAGGACCAGCACAGCGCGGGAGTACCCGCACTCAGCGTCGTCGTCGGATTGACGGTCAGCGCAGTCGGAGAGAAAGAGGCGACGGCGGGAGGCAGCGACCAGACGAGCGAAGGGGAGGGTGCGCACGGTTGGACAGCGGAGCACGGGAGTGTTAGATGCGCTGGTGGTGCCAACGTGGCGGTGCTGTTGGTCCATGTTAGAGAGAGAGAGAGAGAGAGTGAGGTTTTGATTTTGTTAGTTGTTTTGGATTTGGAATGAATGGAATAGGAATAAGAATAGGAATGGGATTAGAAATAGGTGTGAGTCAGCGAGTGGGGATGGTAGTGGTGGTGATTCTGGGGAAGGTGAGACGTGAAACGACGTCACATCGAGAAGAGGACTTGAACGGGGTTAATTTGTCTTGTTTAAAGTGGAGCGTGGCTAGTTAAAGTTAATGATTGGCTTAGATGAATGAAACCAAAGAGTTGGAATGTGGGTAGTGGTGGTGCATTAGCATCATCAACAACTAGCCACTCTTGTTGACTTTTACCTTAACAACTCCTTTCTTAGTATTTCTTTCAATAATCATCATTCAACTTTTACTTTATTTCTTTATTTTTAAATTAATGATATTAGTTCAACAATTACAGAATAAAAATATGCAACAACTTCAAACAATCCTAAATTTTAAATTTATTTTTAATCTATAATTATATATTATTTGTAAGAAGAATATTCACTTATTATTTGAATTTTAATTTAAAATTTGAACTAAATTGTACTATTTTAAAAAATAATTCTGAATTTTTTATTGATTTTTAATTATTTTTATTGATTTAATTTTACTCTTTTTTTAATTATTTTTCATTTTTATGATCCGACGATTACCGAGTAGGGATTTCTTTTTCTAAATTTGTTGACTAAATATATTAATTCTAATTTTAAAAAATAAAAAATATTTTTTTTTAAATTTGAGGAACTAACAGTTTATTATATATATATATTTATATATATATATATATATATATATATATATATATTATAATATGTTAGTAATCTGATATATTCCCAGCAACGGTACGATAATAACATTTTTAATTAATTATTAATTCTTTTCCAATCATTCTAAAAAAAATATTTTTTTATTACATGTCCTATCTTTTTGAATTAAATTTAATTTTTATATCTTAACTTTTTATTAAATTAATAATTAATCTTTGAATTTATTTTTACTAGCAGATAAATATTTTTATAAATAAAATTTATAACATATAAATATATTTAAATATATGAATATAATTCAGCTTTAATATTAAAAATTTAAACTACAGTTATTATTTCTAATTATTAGTAATTGAAAAATATTTAAATTTTATTTATATAAAAAAGAAGAAGATAAAATAAATAAGTACAAAGATAAAAACTGATTTTAAATTATTGAGAAAGCTAATTTACCAATAATGAAGATAATATATTTACATCACATAAAAATAGAAAAAATATTTAAATTGTTCAATTAAGAGTTATATCTTTTAATTATGTATTTATTTTTATAATACACAAAGTAAACAATATTCTTAAAGGAATTGATCCTATATTTTTTATTAAATTAATTTTTTTAATGAAAAGAGTCAACCTTTTAATATTAGACCGATTTCTACCCATAATAAAGGGACTTATATATTTATTTATAAGTATAATAATGAAGTAATAGGTGTTAAAATACTAATAAATATTAAATTGTTTTTTCTAAATATAATAATAATAATAATAATATAGGCTATAAATATATAATCATATAAAATAAACTTAAAAAAAAAGTTGATTGATTTATGAGATAACTTCTAATTATAATTGTTAACGTAGAAAACTAAAAATGATTATTTTAATGAAAAATTATTTATATACGAAAAAAATAACAAACAAGCCTATAATTCAACAAATGATCACCTGTAACAACTCTCAAATTTACATAACAAAAATTTAGAAGGAGATAAACAAAATTAAGATTGTGGCATTCCTCATTTTTATGGTGTTCTAATCAATTTTTTTTACTAAATCAAACACTGTCAATGAAAATGGAGGAATTATGTCACTTATCTTGTTGCTAGAACTCAGAAGAAGTGGATTTCGTTTTGGTACTATCTGTGTACAAAATAAGCATAAAATAATAGATTTTAGATCCTTATAATAATAAATCAAACCCTAAACCCTAATAACAATAATGTAAAAGAAAGAAAAAAAGGTGATGAGATTAACCTTTTTTGGGTCTGCAAAGCTATTCTCATCCAAAGCATTTGCAGATGTGAGCACTGTCTTTGTTGCCTTGGTTGCATTTGAACTCTGAATTCCCTTTACATAAATCTTCAGATTTATTTGGTTCTTCCCCACGTTTGCAACCTACACAACCCAATTGCATTAAGGTTATGGTATTTTCAGTATAAAACCAATTCTGAAAAAAATAAAATACCATATCTATTATGTTTAGAACGATGTAACACTAGCTCTCAAACAAGTAGTTATCAAATAAAGCCCCTTTTTTTTAAGTAAAATTTTAATATATGACAGTATATATAAATTCTTATAATTTTGCTTTACATTTTACTTTATTATTTTAATTATATTATTAATTAATGTAAAAAGTAAATAAAAAACTAAAGCAAAAAGTATATACTACCTTTATTTTCAAATAAGTTCTTTTGTCATGGGAATTTTTCCAAAGAATTGCAGATGCAGCAACTGAATTAGGGTGAGGTGTTTGAAGTTGTGACTTGAGAAATGTTGCTCCATTTGACTCTCTGAACATAAACTGCACCCAATAGCTAGGAGTTCCATAAACCTGATTGGAATTAAAAATAATGGCATCTGGGTTCCACCTATTAAGAAGAAAAAAAAAATCGACAATTGTTCTATAAATCCTTTGTAATATCTTATTTAATAACTCTACAGAAAGAACATGATATAAACGTACTTCCTGTCATTTGCATTTACAAAAAGTGGTGCATAGCTAGCCATTATCACATGATCACTGCATCAAAAACAGGAAATGGGAATGATAAGAATGAAACAAGACTATATTTTCGATCTTGTTCCGGTATCATGTTTATTATTTTTAAACGACGCTGAATCGAAAGGAAAATACATGTAAAATACCCTTCGGGACTGTAAAAAAAAAAAAACTTATGAGAAGAGTGTGTTAAAAAGGATGAAACTAATAGTACAAGTTAAGGTATATTAATTAACCTGTTTCTTTCTAATCCAATAAGGAATCCAGCTTCGGACACACCTCCCAAAAGGGTTCCATGCTTAGCCTGTTTCTTTCCAGTTAGAGCATACTCACTCACAAAAGCCTGAATGTAATACTCAAATCATTCAACGAAGCATAAAACAAGTAGTATGATAAAGAAAGAAGATATATAGTCAAGTGAGAATTACAATAACCTTTGGACCATTTCGTGGTGTCTTATCAAACACATGAGCATTATTAAACATAATCTCATGTTCCGTAGGATAAGTCTGAAGTGAAACTTAGATTACGTCAGAAACACATTAAAATCCCAAGTAATACAAAAATGACATTAGAAATAGCAGTGGAACAAAATCAGAAAAAAAAAAAATCAATGAAAAAAGTTATTTAACTTTCTTCTTGAAACTATGAAATAAATAAGGAATGTTTGAATTGCAAGAGAGAAGATATTACGTGATAATCATACATATCGGCTGGATGATTTAAGGGTTTGGACGAAGCATCACAGTTTGAAATTATTTGAATATCTGGATAAGCTTCTCGTATTGCCTTGTAGAAAGCAAGGTAGTTTCCTAGGAAAAATTAGAAGAACCCTTTAACACTTTTACTTTTCAGTCATCAAATATTGAAAAAAAGAAAATTAGGCAAACTCTTTACCATTTTAAATGAAAAGTAAAGCAATCAAATTTTGTGATGTCTAATCCATTTCCACCAACTATAAAAAATTTGATGAAAGAGAGAGCATGCCTTGATAGTTTTTCTTCATACAATCTTCATTTCCAACAGCAACATATTTTAGATCAAAAGGCTTTAGGTGCCCCATAGATGCTCTAAGGGAACCCCATTTTGACGTAGCTGCTCCTCTGGCAAACTCAATACCATCAAGGGCTTCCTACGACCAAGGGTAAACAAATAAGACATTGTGATGAAAGTACTTTATTCCATCGTTTCAAAAAGGAAAAAAGAAAAAAGAAGAAGCAACAAGAATAGGAAAATATACTTGCACAAAAGGTGAGATGACATGTGTGTCAATTTCATCAGTATGGCTGATGCCTGCATTTTTGAAAACAAGAGTACATATTCAGCAATGGTTCTTACATATTACCCAAAAATCAAACATAAATACCACTGTTAAATAGCCATAATGTGAAAATACCACTGTTAAATACCCACAATGGCCTTGCACCAATGTCCTCTGCTAGCTGCACATGAAAGAAAAAGGTTATCATGATTGAATTTGACAGTAACAACAAAATGTGATTGTTGTCATTTGTCCAATAAATGGACTTACTTGAAGACCCTCAAAATAACCAAATCCATCATCTGTCCAATAACTCCAAACATCACCAAAGTGGCCAGGTCTCTGTTCCCAGGGTCCAACACTATTTTTCCACCTAAATGCATTTCTTAATTTTTGCCCTTCAATAAAGCAGCCACCTCTTGCAAGATAAAATTGCATTAATTTTGGATGTTTGATGACAAATTAGAGAAAGAATTTGGAAGAGATAGATAATGGAAAACTAAATGATATAATGTCTTTGAAAGTCCTTCCTTGTAACATGTACCCAAGAAATACAAAAGATAGGATAGTTTAATGCCACATCTAAGATGTAATCTATCCTAAATTTGTCAACACTTCAAAAATGATGCCAATTCAATTTTTACAAAGTTTCCCAAATAAAATTCTAATTATCTATGCTTTTCCAGAAATATTATACACATCTGAAATGATATCTCTTTCTTTACTACAGTTTATGCATACCTGGAAATCTTAAAAAGGCTGGTTTCAAGTCTAATAGCATGTTAACCAAGTCACTTCGGAAACCATGTCCCTGTGCCAAAACAAGTTTCAAGATTTAGTATTTTGAAAGATAAATACAACGCAATTGAGTATTGCCAACAATGAGAGTTTGACATTCAAGTCAAGAACTTAATAAAGTAAAGTAGCTAGAGAAGTTTCATGTTGTACCAATAAAGCCATGAAAGAAAACAGACCTTATATGTGTCCACAGGCATAGCAGACACTTGGTCCAACCATATCACCCCTTTTTTTGTTGTTGTCAGATACAAACTGGATTTCGAACATGATGCATGAGCTTCTAATGTAGTCTCCATCCTTTTCCATTTGGAAACTTCTGATGCAGAAGACCTAAAGATCAATCAATGTATTAATATCATGTTCATATTCAAAAGACACTTTTCACAGGACAACTGAGCATTGAGTCTCCCCAGAATGTTGAAACAAATTTCTCACTTGACATTGCTTGAAGCCAATACCCTTCCACCTTCAGTTTTTCTGAACGATACTGTCATATGTAGTGATCCTTTTGATTTAACAAAGAACACAACTTTATATTTCTTCCCTTTCACAATATTCTGAAACAAGATTTCGTGGTCAAAGATGCAAATCTTTTTCAATTATGGCAAAATGGAAAAATTAACTTCATAACAAGATTGTTTGTATCTTGGAAACAACATGCACTTGGAGTTGTTTTAAGTAATCATCATGTAAAGAAGGGAAAGGAACTTGGAAATAGAAGTTCATATGATACACATTATTTGTTATTCTCACCATGCCCCAAAAACCCGGGTTAGAGACTCCAACACCATCAGAATAGCAATCGTCACACAGCACATCCATTTTTAATGCAACCTTGTTGTCTTCAAAGCAAGAATTAAGTTCAGTTTGTAGGAAAATAGCTGGTTCTTTCCCAACTATGGTCCAGGGTGAAATATTTGATGGAACTTGTCTGCCCCCAGCTTCAAAACCTGAATCACAAATTAATAAACGAATGCATATATATTCTATCACCAAAGCTATAAATAGAGTAGAATGTCTATTCGTAATTTTGTTAGAAAACTATTTTCTTATCATTAAAATTTTTAGTGAAATCATAGAAAATATACATTGGAGAAGATGGAAAGTACTGACCTCTGTTATTCACAAGCTCTGCCCACAATCCACCAGCACCAGCATGATTGATCTCCTGCAAAAGTTCAAAACTTCGACCACTTTTGAATTATTTCAAAATAAAAAGATCCCAGTACAATTTTATATAACCATGCATGCATTGTGAAAGGAAACTCAACATTTAAAAATTTCAATAAACCTTAAGTTTGTGATATTAAGAATTTTATTATCTTTTTTTAAAAATCTTAAATGAAAGCTGTGCAATTCCTAGGCTGCACCATAATCCTTTCCAACCTCAAAAAAAATTCCGAAAAGAGTGTCGGGAATTGGCCTTCCAGATAAATCAGTAGCATCTACAACCAGAGTTGAAGTCTTGTTGGCATAAGCGCAACCTTGAAAAGCAAAACAAGCCCCTATAACGAGGTAGATCCAAAGAAAACTGCAACAGGCCTTTGTAAAAATCATTGCTTTTTCTTTTGTTTTTTACACTTTCAGTGTGACATAACAATACACACAATTATATAAACCAACACTGTCTATTGTCTTGATTTCTTTACTTTTGGCTTGTATTTATCAGAAAAAAATTAAATAAAGAACATTCCCAATAGATTACTCTGGTCAACACACACTAGAGATCCGAATCTCAAGAGTATTTGAGTGAAACCGAGTTATTGTAGCTCAAGTTGCGGAAGGTGTTACTTATATGGTTCTTTTATGCACACTGATTCAGAGACATTGAGCTTTATACTAGTGTTTGTTTTATCTTACCTAGTCACGACTTTTATTCTGGTGTATATTTAAGAATAGAATAATTTATTTATTATATAAAATGTGAACAACGGAGATTAAAAGTTAGTGATTAAATAATAACTTAAAAAGTCATCTAATTTTACTGTATCAAAAAATTAATTTCACTTTTTCTGTTCATTTCCATATCATAAAAGTATTTATAAAGAATTTTTCTTCGGTTCTATTCTAACTTCTTTTTAAGGATTTCTTTTCTTTTTGTTGAAATAACTTTTCCTCAAACTAAACAGTTTTGGTGAACAAGTAAATTAACAAAACAAAAATAATCACCAACACCCCTTAGAGTTACTTATGATTAGGATTATCATGTAGTCTAAATATGGTGAACGAAGTAGTAACCTTTTAATCACAGCAGAAAAATAAAAAGTTGCAGATACTTGAAGTTCTGTAGCAAATAGATTTGGATAAAAATATCCCATAATTTTGATTTCATTTATAAATAGTACATCATTTGGCAATTAAGCATCAATGACATTAAGAATAAGGTTCTACTTTCAATAGCTATCTGTATCTATTGTGTACTTACCAACAAGTTTAGCTTTTCAGGTTTAAACCCCAGTGAGGGAATTAATAATAATTTATGTCTAACATTCAAATAACTTTCACTAGTTCAGCTCTTCCATGCATGTGGGTTGGTCTGGTCTATTGTAGGCACCACCAAAGAGAAGGCCACATAACATTTGGCAGTCTTAAACCAGCCACAATGTATGACATTTCTTGATAGTATTGAAAAAATTGCCCAATGTCCTTCATATTTGTCTTCATTTTATTATAGTGAAATTATTCCTATGCTGTAACTAGCTTCTGATCATATTAACAAATCTAATGATGTCACTGAATAGGAAGAGAGTATAATATTCATGTACTTGTCAGCCTTCTCTAGTGAACTTGTTTGTGGCACCACCTGTGTTTAAAATAAAAATAACAAATAGTTTACATATTAGGCAAACTGTATGTAATTGTATAGAACAAGTACAGGTAAACCAAATTGTACCTTCTTGGGCTCTAAGAAGGAATTCTCATCCATTACGTTGGTTGATGTAAGAACTGTCTTCGTAGAACCATATTGTTGCACGTTTGAGTTCAACCCATTTATATAAATGTTAAGGATCTCTGTGGCTGTTCCAAAGTTTATTACCTGTGCAAATCAAAATCAATAACTCCTAGTGAATATAGTGCCACTGAAAATCATCTACACCAAATAGAAATGCTGATCAAAGATAAAAAGAATCAATTGGTGTTAATCTAATTGAAGATATGCTTGTAGTCTTTCACGTTCAAGGCATCATTGGATATAGCAATAGTCAGAGTTTGAATTTAGTTGAAAAGGGCACCTCTTACCTTTATTCTTAGGTAATTTTTATTCTCTGTAGAACTTTCCCAAATAATTGCAGATGCAATAAGTTTATTAGATGAATTTGTAAGGAGTGTTGAATCAAGAAATGTTGCTCCACTGGACTCAATAAAAAGTTTCTGCACCCAATAGCTAGGAGTTCCATAGAGCTGATAAGAGTTGAACACAATTGCATCGGGAATCCATCTGTAATGACACATTTTACACAATCTCATGTTACCATGGCATCATGTTGGAGTTTACAAACAATTTTCGAAATGCCTATTCTATGTTACAAGAATATGACAAAGGGTAGAAGTTTTCGAAGCAAAAGTACAAGAAAATTACCTCCTGTCATTTATATTTGAGAAAAGTGGTGCATAAGAAACCATCTGGACAATATCACTGCATCAGAAAAAGAATATAAATGAGGTTAAGGTTAGAAAAACTGCATAAAACGGAAACAATCTACAACGAAAGAAAATCTACAGAAAACCTGTTCTTCTCTTGTCCAATAAGAAATGCAGCTTCAGCTACAGCAGCCAAAAGGCTTCCATTTGCAGCATCTTCTTTCCACACAGCATACTCACTCACAAAAGCCTGTGACCATTTATATTGAGTATTCACACACCAAAAATTATTCATAAATTAACAATTCATAAATAAGGAATTGGAAGAGTGTTAATTAAAATTCAAGATTATCAAACCTTTGGACCAGATCGTGATGTGTGATCGAACCGAGTAGACTTTGAAAACATGTCATTGGAGTCTGTATAAATCTAATAAAAAGTAAGAGGGATAGTAAGTTGAAAAACGAATAAAAGACAAAATAAATATACTTGCTGAAGTAAAATCAACAAAATGAAAGTTCAAGAAATAATGTGAGAATGTATAATCTTTACATGAAAATCAAACAAATCAGCTGGATGTTTTAATGGTGCGCTAGAAGCATCACAATTTGAGATAATTTGAATATCTGGGTAGGCAGATCTTATAGCCTCATAAAACTTAAGGTAATTTCCTAGAATGAAACAAGAAAAAGGTGTTAATAATTTAATACATCAATCTTTAGATTGATGCAAATATCAAAGGTGTTGAGTCATATACAACAATTTTCTACGAGTAACATATATATGAAGTTTCATTAATGGTTTACACGTTTGTCCTCGGAATAATTTAAAACAAAAAAATTGCATACCTTGATAATTAAAATGCCAACAATCTTCATTTCCAACAGCAACATATCTCAAGTCAAAGGGTTTAGGATGCCCCATTGCAGCTCTAACAGAACCCCATTTCGATTTAGGAGAGCCTCTTGCAAATTCAATGCCATCCAGGGCATCCTTTTAATTCAAAGATTTCATAGTAATAATAAATATGTGTGTATATACTCATACATGCGGAGAAGAAAAGTGCAGGGAGAGAAAGTTGTACTTGCACATAAGGAGCTATGGCTGATGCATTAATTTCTTCATGAACACTGATACCTATAAATAAGACATCCATATAATTAGAAAACAGAGACAAATTAATTCAAATAGTTGTGATTGTTGAGAATGAATTTGAGCTGAGGCAAGAAGAATATATATACCAGCATTGAAAACCCATACGGGCAATGCACCAAGGTCCTCTGCTAGCTGCTCAAGAAATATTAAATCATTATATTTATTCAACTAAAGTATGGAAAATTTAATCATAGTTGTCAAAGAATAATAATACACTCACTTGGAGACACTCAAAATAACCAATTCCATCGTCACTCCAATAGTTCCAAATATCATCGAAGTGTCCAGGTCTCTGTTCCCATGGTCCAATTGTATCTTTCCACTGATATCTGTTTCGCAGATAATCACCTTCAACATATGTACCACCTAATACAGTTGCATTGACAAATAATGTTAGGTCTTGGAGATATTATTTTACACCAAAGTTTAGAAAGAAGAAATATTATTCCATTATAAGGGTTAATATCATAACTAACTTTTGGAAACAAAGAATTTGGACATACCAGGAAATCTGAGAAATTTTGGTTTCAAATCTGCCACCATCTGAAAAAGGTCCTTTCTGAAGCCATGGCCCTGTTTCGAGAGAAAAATGAAGTAATGTAAAGGAAAAGAAAAAATGAAAAACAAGTGAATATTACCATAAATATGGTCATAGCTACATTTGTTGATTTATAAGGTGTGATTGTTTATTCTACCAACCATATGAGTGTCCAATGGCATAGCTGACACTTGGTCTAGAAAGTATATCCCTTCACTGCTTGTGGTTATTTGAAGACTTGAATAGTGATTAGTAGCTTTTGCTTCCACTATTGTCTCCACCCTTTTCCATTTTCTATCTCCAAAAACATGCCTGTCAAGAACCACCAATTAGTCATTTTAATAAATGGATTTATTGGCTTATTGAGTAGAGGCTGTAGAATCTTTACAATGTCTTCTAAATAAAAAGGGACTTACCTTGTATTTGATGCCACTTTTATAACATCAACACCCGTGAATGACAGTAGAAAATCAAACTTTGTTTCTGATTTAACATGGTAGACCACTTTATACCTCTTTCCTTGCTCAAAATTCTGAACATGAAAAAAATTAAACAACAATGTGTGATGATTACATTGTTTTGGCAATTATTTGTTAGATTTAAACTTACATAACGCAAATAATAGACAAAATTTACAATGTGTGAATGGAAAGTATATACATTAATTTCCTTACCATGCCCCAATAACCTGGATTAGAGATACCAACGCCACCATATGGGCAAGGTATGCGACCACCACAATACACCTTCATTTGTAATGCAGCTTTATTACGCTCAAAGCAAGAGCTATAATTTATTGATACAGAAATGGATGATTCATTTCCAATAATTGACCAAGGATAAATACTTAAGGTGTTGTATGGTCCTCCTGCTTCAAAGCCTAAAAATATAATAGAAAAATACACAAAATACTTAAAAAAAGGTATGAATTCTATCTGAGTCTGTGGAGTGGAAACACAAGATGAAGAAAGGTTTATAGATTTGGCAATAACCTCTATTGCTTACAAGTTCTCCCCACAGTCCCCCAGCGCCAGCATGATTAATCTCCTGAAGATAAATTCAAAGAAATTGTTGAATTTTTAAATTGAAATAAGGTTAACTTTTTTGTGATACTTCTTCTTCTGCTGATAAATGAGATTGGTTTATGATTAGTGCCAAAAATGATTATGCATGTTTGCAGTGAAGTTAAACGAGTAACCTTTACATAAAATATCTTGAAATCATAAATTTTACTGTACATTATTTAAAAAACCTGTTTAGCATTAAAGGTCTTGCTATAAACCATGTTTTTCAGATAAAATTCCTGTCAAATTTTAAGAGGGTCATTAATTACTAGATCTTGGGACGAAGGGACATATCATGTGTTTATGCATGGAAAATAGCTTAAGCTAATTTAAAATACACTATGAAGAAAGAAACACTATAAAATTTTATTAAGAGTAAGAATAAAAGGGTAATGTGGGGAAGGAATGTTGCCATACCTCAAAGAACACTCCAAGAAAAGTGTTAGGAATTCGCCTTGCATTCACCTCATCAAAGGAAGCATTTACAACCAGTGTTGAGTTCGGATCAGCACAGCAATATTGAAACATAAGAAAATGAATGAAGAGGGAATAGAGCACAACCCCAAACCAAGGCTTGAGAGAACAAAACACCATCATGGACAAAGTTTAGATGACAGATTCTATGATGATGATATCCTTGTCTAACAAGTCATATTATATAGGGAAGGAAAAATTCTGACAAATGTCCCTCCTCCAAACTACTGAAAAGGAAAAGGTTTGAAATGTTACAGAAAAGACTACCTTTATTCATTCTTTTAGTAATGCTCTTGATTGATTTTGTTTTGAGTCCCTGTCAGGTTCATCTCACTTACATTTTCACATGAGAAATACTGTTTTTCTTATACAGGATAGTGAATACTTCATGTCTTCATTTGATACTCATCACCTACCCACTTAATTTTTTTGGTGGAGTACCCACTTCATATTTGATATGGCTTAATAAAATTAAAGTGAGATATAAAGGATCTGTCACTGATATGCCATCTTTCTCTCAATCCATGCAAACTCTCTAACAGAGCTAATTTGTAATTAAGCAGGACATAGCTTAGCAACACAAACATTTTCATTAGATGGAATGTAAAGAGTTGAAGACTCTCCTCACCAAATTGCATATATTCTCATCTCTGATGTAAAACATTCTGATGTTTACATAAAGCCAAATACATTTCTAAAAATATAAGAATATAAACTACAACAAATTTCAAGTTAAGTTTATATTTTATTTCTGTATTTTACCAAATAAAATTTAGGCTTAATTTTATAAAATTCACAATATTGGTACTTATATTTTTTTTCTTGTATTTTAATTATAATTTTGGTCTGGAATTTCATTTTAAGCAATTTCAATTTAATTATCCATATTTTCTTTTGGTATTTTTGACATAATATAGTGCTATTGGAAGGAAATGTACGATACTAAAATTAATGAAAAATAATTTAGAATCAAAATTACAATTAATACAATCCATGGTTATGTTTTAACATTGATAAACCTCACATGGTTGTTGGAGTCAAAGATAAAGGATTCAAAAATTAGAGTAAACATGCATTGAAATTTAATATCTATTAATTTCGTTTAGTTTATGG